CACACACACACACACACACACACACACACACACACACACACACACACACATCTTTCTAACCAGCAAGCTTCCCCTCCCTCGCAAAAGGAACAGTCAACAGCCTGCAGCCTAGAGCAGAGTCCCAGAAGTATGCACAGTGAAGCAAAATTCCGAAAGGAAGCTGTGGAAACGGCCTGCGCTGCCCTGGCCGTGAACGTTCTCAAGGGCAATGCTGATCAGGTGGAAGCTTTGATGGTCGCTCCTAGCCTGACTTTGCAGCCCATTTCTGCACAGTGCAGACAAGCCCGGACCTCGGCTGAGGTGTTGAAGTCCATGATGCCGCCAGAGGATGGCGCTGCAAAGGTACGGGGACCACCACCGTTTGCGACTTTGGAAAAGTCGGAGCTGGTCCATGGCCTGTATGTTAAGAGATCTGCGATACTGCCCAGTTGAGAAACATGGATCGAAATCTGCCATGTGCTGACGGCCCGAGGTTTGGTCAGAACATGAGCCTTACCTGGATAGTTTTGTTGAGCTGTTCTACGGTAGTCGCTTAGTTTTTGTTTTTGTTGGTGTGTGCGTGTGTGTGTGTGTGTGTGTGTTCGCTGCGGACGCTGAAGCACATTTCCGGCACGCCGAGTGGGAGGGAGAGCGAGAGAGAGAGAGAGTCTCTGCTGCAAGTGCTCGCTCTAAACACAAGGGGGGACATGTAGTATCTTCTAGTCGCTCTACAATTGCTGCCTTCGAAGTCCTCCTGTGTCGGTAGTGAGCATATAGACAGTGTCAGTCAACCTCCCATCGGGGCAAGGTAGGATGGTTACTTACTTAGACTGTTCCTCTCAGTGTAGTACATGAACTTTCTTTCCATTCAAGCAAGCCCCGAATCTAGTTTCACGAAACAAATTTCACACATGTGCCAGACTTGGTCCCTCATACAACTTGTGCTATCATTGCTTTTTATTCTAGCTGTGTTGTAACTGTTATGGGCTAGGGGGACCAACCACCAGGAACCTGAGAGCATAAGTAGATTGCTTGCGATTCCGGAAGCTGGCTCCAAACCAATGTGATGTGGGAGATCGTCCTCTACGGCAATAGTATCCTACTGTAGTTTAATTACAACACGATCGAAACCCACAGTCCACATTGGTTGCATGTGTCATACGAGTCATGGGGGACCCTGAAGTTTTTTCATAGTCCAATATACTTGCCCAAGGAACCTAGGGGAACCCATGTTTTTTCACGCCCTACCGAAAGCCCCGTAACAAACGGGGGGCCCATGAGGCCGGGGGGCCTAACCAGCCCTTCAAGCCCTGTCGAAGAAGTCTCTGCTGCCTGCTCTGTCCTTCGGGCGCTGCGAAGGCGACATGTCCTGTGCCGTGTTTTGTGCAGCAGCCAAGCCCTACTGACAGATGTGGACAGCAGTAACGCACGGCGAAAGGGGAAGCAGGTGCCAGCCTAGGTGAGGCCAGGGGCTGGTTCACAATGTGTTCGTCAAGGAAGAATCCTCCTTCGAGTCGCGTTTTTTCACTGGCATGTTTGACTAGTCCGAAGGGGGGGCGAATTCCAAGCTGCATGCTGGCATAGGCATAGGGGTTCTGGGTGGCAGCCCGGCTACTCTGTCGCTTCGTTCTAATTCCCCAGAGCGCAAAATTCTCTGGACCCCTTTGGTTGGCGTGCTGAAGAAGAGAGAGAGAAAGGGATAACAGCCCATGTTCATAGATGTTGTCGTCCTTGCGAAGTAGGAGGCTAAAATGTACATGCTCTCTGCATGACTCCGTCTTCCGTGACTTTCAATCGCGAAAGCAGGGACCAGCGGGATCTGTGTCCGTCGAACACTGAGCGCGGGTTTGGGCCTGTGAGCGCGGGTTTGGGCCTGTTACGACTGCATTTTCCCGTCTCCCCGCACGGCCTTAAAACATGTGTGAGCCCATGCTTCAGAGAACAGATAAGAACAATAAAAGGAAAGACTCCCTCTCCCCTGCCTCCCTCCCTTCCAGCACCCCCGCTTCCCTCTCTTCCTCCCTCCCTCGCTCGCCGCGTCCCTCTTGCCTGCTAAGCTCAGGACTACATGCAGTCGTCCCAGTGCGGATCTGGAGCCACATATATCCGGAAGAACCCTTGTGGTAAGTCGGTGCAGTCGGTGCTCTACCAAGGTCTGGTCCGCAGGAAAACTTGCGCATTCTTCAAAGCTATGAGGCTGGGCCAGTGATCGCCGATGCCGCAGAACTGGATGTTGAACTTTGTAAGCCTAAGCGCTCTGGACGTGCCATCCGGAAGAAATACCTGGTTTCTGCCACATCCACTGCACCTGCTTCGCATACGTTCCTCAAGGCCGAATATGCAAGACGAGTTCACTCCTCAAACGTGGGAAGACCACTTTGAGCCATGCTGACAACTCACATGCTCATCCGTCTCAGCCACAACTGCATGAACTACTCTACCCAGGTAGCGTTTTCAGAGGAGGGCTTCAGGGACCCGAAAGTCCTTTCGGGCGCCCTGGACCTTGCAGTTGATCCTTATTTGCAGATTCAGCTTGAATTGTTCATGGCATGAGCAAGCGGCGGATGGCGTGTTACCAGTATCTCGATTTGCAAGGCCTGCTCGCCCTCGCTCTCCCGAGCCGAGGCTTACTTGAAAAATTATGCCGTCGACAAAGCTGACGCGCTGTATGTGCCTGGCCTGCCCGGACATGTCCTGAGGATTTCTGAAGCTGTAGGTAGAACCGGAGGCATAGCTTCAGGTATGGCTTAGCAAGACTAGTCCTTTGGGATGGGTCACTTTGGCGCCCTTTGCAATTCACCCCCTTCAGGCTAATATACCTCTGAATCTCCGTGCTTCCCCAAGCCATGCTCGCACCCGGCAAGACACGGCTGTCGGCCCGAGGCTGCTACGGAGTCATATTGTATGGAGCGTGGGCTTCCATGGGATGTCGCTCGGTGGATGAGTTTTTTCAGCGTATGTGGTCGAAACAAGCCTGAGGTGAAATGGCTCCAGGATTGCGCAACACTGAGATGCAAGCAGCAGAGACAGCCCGAGGCACGGGATCTAAGGTGTAGTTTCAGCACGCTCGGACTTTGGCTCTGCCTGGCTTCGACTTCTGCTTTTGCCCAACAGAGCCACGCGTATTTCGGGCTGCTTCGGGGTAGAAGCAAATTGGGAGTTGTTCCAACCCCTGGCTCTTGACCGTAAGCTAACTGCGTACTTGAATGTTTTGATGCAGGTTTATGACCTGCTGCAAAGCCAGCACGGCACAAGCGAGCCCAAGGGCGAACACAAGGGCGATAAGCAGTGTAAGAAGCTACAAATCCCAAGGGGTTGGGAATGTGTTGAAAACCGTTTGCCCCCCACAAGAGCGCACAAGGCGATTTTCGAGTTACGGGATGGAACCATAATGAAGAACAGCATCCAGTTATGCTTCTGCCATCTCCTGCCACGATCCCGTGCGAATTGTGCCTTGAAGTCGCTAAATTGTTTGGAGGCCGTTCGGCTTGTCGGGGCTCGACGGTGTGGTCCGGAAATCCTGCCGTTCCTACTATTTGCTTAAGAGCCCCCAAAAAATAAAAAATATATTCCTTATGGGGGTAATATAGGGATTATTATTTTTTATTTTTTGGGGGTTTCTTAAGCAAATAGTAGGTTCAAAGGGATTTCCAAATGTTTGCGATCGGCGATAAATGCCGGCGCTACGGTGCGGCGCGTATGTTGGGTGCTACTCGTCTTCCCGCTACAGGCCCACACGTTTCCACCTTCCGATAGAAATTTTGGGGTGCCAATCTGCTGATCGTGTTTCCACCTCCAAGTCGTGCTCGTGCCGAAATGCCGAGTGTGCTCCCGGGTGTCAATCGTGCTCCCGCGTCACAATGTGCTGCGTATTTATCGTTGGGCGGGTACATTTGTAGACTTGGACTGCTAGGTGCTCTTTCATGGTCCGAGGTCTGCGCCGGCATAGTCTGTCATGGGTCAGTCCATGTGCCATGTCTCGGCGATCAGTGTTTCCCCTCAGGCAGCAGTTCTTCTAGAAGAGGTGGCGAAGCGAACGCCACCACATCCCGTGCCGAGACTCGTAGTTTAGGTGCAGCGATGCTGGCGGCTAGGTGATCACCATAAGCTGTGAATGTCTCCGTGCCCAGGCAACTCTGAACAACCTGGGAACTGTGTACAACATGCCGCCATGATGCAAGAGTGTCGTGCAGGTGCTTGCTTTGGGCGCAAGTCTGCAAGGATGCGCGACCATGAGAAGGCCCAGGAGTACTTCCTAGCCGCCCAGCAGGTTGCTGGACATGATGAACCGGACAAGGACCTAGAGTGGCCCGGGCGGTGTTTCTGAAGCAACCGTAACAGCGGCTCTTGTGAGACAGAGACAGGACGATCTCTGGAACATGGGCATTGCCAAGAAGCATCTGGGCCATTACGAAGAGGCCCTGCCGATGTTGCTCAAGGCCAGGCCGTGCAGCGGCGCCCAGCGTGCAGAGCATGGCTGCCCGGTCCTTGTAGCAGGCACTGGAAGGTTGGAAAACGGAGGAACCTGACGACGATGTGACCATCGCAAAGCTGCATGACACCGTGGGCAGCTGCCGATTGCCTCGACAAACCTTGTGAACAGAATATTTTAGCACAACTGTTGCCAAGTCTGCAAGCAGAACAGTCTGCGGAGTGGTGTCATCACATATGACCAGGTTTTGACTTGATGGGCCGCCATGCAGAAGCAGTTGAACAGTTTGCCTCAGCTCGCTTGCTGTTTGGACGCAGCATTGGAGCAGACAGCATCTTTGCTGCAGAAGTGGCCTTCGGACGTGGAACGCAGCTATTTGAGAGGCTGGACAGCATCTCGAAACCGAGGCCCGCTTTATGGCAGCGCTTGTGAGGGTTTGACCAAGGCATGTGCAATCCTTGTAATTCCTTGTGCGTTGCAGGATTCAGAGTATGTGTTCCGGGTTCTGAACGGCATTGCGCCATGTATCGTCAGCAACGAAAGCTGGAGGCGCTGCTGCATGCAGGTCGATATGCTGAAGCGTTTGATAGATTGGAGGACTGCGCTGCTGTATGCGGCATGTGCCATCTAGAAAATTAGAGCCATTTCTCCCCAAAAGGAAACCTTCCTCAACCACGCGCAGCGACTCACTTGCACTATCTTGCACTGTGGATGGTGAAGAGGCATCTTGAACACGAAGCTGGCCGAGGAAGGACGCAATCCATCCCACGCCCATCTTTGAGCTTTTGGGGCTGGCGCTCGAGGAATTTGTAGTGCCGGACCTGGTGCACTTTCTGTTGCCTCGCCTCGGTGGCATAGAGTTCCCATGTGGCTCTGAGGACCGAAGCGGCGTTGATCCTTTGGAGCTGGTACGCCTCGAAGCCCCGATGGAAGCACAGCTCAAGACTCCAAGTCAGTCTTTGTCCTATGTTCACAGATTCACAGTCATACGAAAGCTTGACCTCCCAAGGAGATAGCTGTCAAGAACATGGTCTATAGAGGCCTTGACAAAGATGGCAATGCTGGGGTGGTTTTCGAAAGAATGGCACAAGTTCTTCTGCGTTGCAGAAGCTTGGCGGCAGGAGCGTGTCATTTCTACACACGCGGCGCCAATGTGCGCTCGTGCTCACACACTCCGCCATCACACCCGCCGTGCTCGCAAGCTGAAACCTATGCTCGAAGCATGCTCTTGATCTTTGCTGTTACCCTGCATGCTGCATGCCAGCATGCAGGCACGCATGCAGTAACGCGAGCATCAACGGATACGCCAAAGTGACACATGCAAGCAAGTCACCACCGACACCCCGGTCCAGCCTCATGAACTTCTACTCGCCGGCATCCTGCTTACCCATCCCGAGCACCCAGTCAGCCATCCCATGCGCACACCCACCCCCTCACCACATCACCATCACAATTCCTACGAGTACAGCAAGGATTTCCTTGACATCGTCGATTGCATGTCACCGTGTTCATGGGCAGCGGCATGTTGGCTTTATGGGGTCGCCAGGCCCAACGGCCCACAGCCACATCTGGCATATGGAACATATTCTGTAACCGCACACGGCACTGGTCGGATGCCAAGAAACCATAAGGGGTTGCCAATATCTCCCACAAGGGTGTTGGCCATTTCTCGCAGCATCCAGTCGCGCTTTTGAGGTCAGGGAAAGTTTTCGTGCCATGTGTCCTCTCCTAGTCAGGTTTTTATGGTTTGGTCATCCATCACATCCTATTGGGATCTTCTGCTTGTTCGAGAACGGGTCAGTTCCTTTTTGGCTTTGTTGGCCTTGCATCCAGTGTGAGGGTTTGCCATCTGCTGTGTCGGTTTACGGTTCCCGGTCTTTCTGGGCTTGGCTTCCAATGTGGGCCTGGATGTTTCGGCTGAGGGCTGACGTCATGCGGCTTGTAGGGCCTCGGGTTTGCAAGATTTGCCCTCCGTCCTCTCCTGATGGGGTTCGTGGGTAGCGGGTCTCTGTTTAGGGGGCAGCGGGGTTTGCCATCTATCATCTCCTTCTCGGGTGTAGACTAGACGCTTTCCATTCAAGGAACTTGCGACAATGAAACACCGATACTTCGCTCGGCTCAGGTTTTGAAGTTTCGAGGTTCGTGCATGCACTGGCCACAACAATATTTCTTGTCGATGTGCTGCTCGAACTAGGCACGCGACAGCTTTTCAGCACAAACAGCCGTTGCCGGTTTTGATTCAATAGAGAAGCATGTCTCCAGTATGTCGTGGTACTTTCACGTATCTTGCAACGCCCTCCGCTTTGCTGATTCCCCTCGTGCCGCTGGCACCTGAAGCAAAGGCTGCAAAGGGGCATGCCTCAAAGGTGTGCTTTCTGTCCTGCCTGAGGCATGGCTCAGGGAGACGAGGCTCGGCAGCGGAGCGCCGCACGACGCAGGGAGCTGGCCAGAAGCCTTCTAGGCACGGCTGGCGGCTGGCATTCCGCATGGTGCTCTCGAAACTTTGAGCTTGGAGGCCGGGCGGTGCCCCTGGTGGAAGAAACCACACGATCAGGAGAAGCCGACCTCTCCCACATCAGTGCCATGAGCCTAGGAGCGAGCATTTGCACGAAGTGAGCGAAACAGATCGGCGGCGGCTTGCCTCGCCTGCTGGCGTGAGGCCTTGATCACTATGGAGCTCCAGGTGTTGGATGCTCAGGATGCAGTGTACAGAAAGGCTTTGAACGGAGCCGATCCAGGCCTAGCAACACCGGCCTTGAACTTATAGCAGCTCGCTGCATCCGATGGGTCCTGACAAAAGCTCAGAGAATCTACGTCAGCCTGAAAAGTCGCAGTGTTTGCCGTAGGACTGTGGGAAGCGGGGTCGCGTAGCATGCTGGTGGTGAATGCAGCCAGTCCGTAAGGTGACCACCCCATGTGCCAGCCAGCTAATTTCCAAAGACTCGTCGATGGTTTAAATTCTTACATCGTCCGTCTCTTATCCATTGCTGCATGCAGCCTGCCGCTTCAAACACGCCCAATGCTAAATTAATGGGTAGTTAAATACATTAAATAGATCAATGAAGAATACAGAATAAATAGTACACACACACACACGTACGTACAAACATATGTATATCTATCTAGGTATATATGTACATGTTTTCGCAGGCTTCATTGACATATTTTGGGAATGTGTTTTCTGAATGCTGCTGGCTGTCGTTTGATGGCATGTGGGTCGGAGCAGGAGCATGGCATCTCTCCCGAAACCCCCGCCCGGCCCTAAGCAAACTGCACATGCTGACTGGTCCATCTACCATACCGCCAAACCGGCAATACCATTTCTGAAGATCACTTGCGATCCAAGATCAGTTCTCTCGTCCCTGAGTGGCCAGAAGATCTGCCGGGGGACATGCCAGGCTTGCTTTCGCTTGGCGGGTTTATAGCAGTGCTGGTGTGTTAGCAGGTGCCCCGGCTGAACCCCTTCGACTTAGGCTGAAGAAGCATGAGCCACCCCGCTGTCAACTTGTACATCCGTTGACTCCGCAGGCATTGCTTCACGCACACCGGCGGCTTCTCGAACGCTCTGCCGACAGTCCACCCTGTGAGCTCGCGCTTTTCCAATCTTTTGCATCTTGTAAAAAAGAACTGAGTCCAAGCTAAATCCGTGCCAAAACCGACAAAGGTTGCGTCCTGCTGAGCTCCGCAGACTTCGGAAGCGCCGGAGCTTGAGCCTTGGTCTTGACACTTTCTTGCAGTAGAAAAGCAGAATTTTGCCACAACGCGGCCAAGCTATCGCAAGGGATTCTGCCTGAGGGAGTAAGGGGATAGAGAGATTTTTGCACTCGCAGGTGGGTGGGTAGGTATGGGAGGAACTGCAGGAACAATCTGCTGCTCTAAACACAAAGATGTTTGCAGCGTGGTGAGACCCAGAATGTTCGATGATGCCCGATAATTCCCTAATCAGTCTGACAAAGTTGGCCGCCCCGGAAGTGGGGTTTTCTTGACTAGATGCACCATGTTTCACGACCTCAGTGAAAGCCACCAGTACGGATCACAGAGTAGAGGGAATGCCGTTTATCGTCGGGCTACCACAAGGCCACCTGCTGGTTGCTTGTTTCAGCCAACCGGAACAGATCGGCTCCTGGGAAGGGAGAGCAATGGTAGATCTCCAGCCCCGAAGCCCGCGAAAAGGACAGATGTTTGTAGAAATCGCAGGATGCGAGAAGGCGAGCTGCTGCTAGTAGTGCATGCTGCCGGTAGAGCAGCTGGCACGGCATGAAGGATCGATCAGAGGTTGCGGTCGCCTCTGCCAAGGGGAACTAAGTTGCCAGGAACACTCAAAAGAAGTTGTTACTTTTGTCGGCAAGCTTTTCTTGGCATGGAGTCAAGTTTCGACTTGGCCGACTTGGGGCCGTAACCCTAGCCTGCTTGGCACAAAAGCGCACGACACGGCGTCATATGCCGAGTCCGGAGCAGAACCGAACATCGTGAGCGCAATGTAGGCTTGGTGGAGTGCTCCACCCTCGGTGGCCTGGTGTGACGCCGGCCCTGATCCGGAAACACCATCGCCGGCATGTCCGCTCGCAATCGAAAGAACTTGAGTCGGTGACTGTGCGACAGTCAGTTGCGAGTGATGAGTCTAAGGACCCAAACGGGTTTTAAGGTTTGGAGGTAACTAACCACGGATAAAGAGGAGCACTTCTGCAGCCGGAGTGAGAGTGTTTGCGAAGGAACCTTTTCCAACTGAAACTGCAAGAAAAGGACAACTTAGCATCGCGATGCTACTTTGGAGGACACTCCGGTCGGAACTGACATCTGACGATACACCTCAACCCCTCGGAAGAGGAAAGCCTGCAACTACCTGGGTGCCTCGCTCTAATGCCCAAGTTTGAACCCTAAGTGGGAGCACCCACAGAGTCTCACGTGGTGTGTGGACTGACGCTTGGCGGAGGAGTCCGTTTGAGTTCGTGTGCGTGGCCAAGGCGAAGCAGCGAAGCCGCCCTGTAACTTGAAAGAGCTGGCTGGATGCTTAGTGCACGACATTGCCGCTTCTGGGCGCCTGCTCTTGTGCGATGACCTTTGGCAAAATTGAAGGTGGAGCGCGAGAGCTGGGGTCCAAGTTGAATGGTGTGCAGGAGTGAGCGCTTTAATCGCAGACTGTCCCCCCCAGCAAAGACAAGAAACGCGAGCTACCCGCCACTCTCCGCCGCCCAGCACACAGGTTTTTGAGTGCTGCCAGGTGACGAGGTAAGTCGCCCGAACCGTAGTCGCCGTAGTGCACTGGCGAGATTGCTTCTTTTCAACCACACCACCACAACAGATATGTCCAAGCTGCTCCAGTGCTTCTATCGGCGGCAGGGTTTCGAAGCTAGCGGGTGAAACAGGCCCCTTAGAGAGGATACCTGCCAGAACCTCCTCAGAAGCGTGTAACTGCCACTGTGCCGGATCGTCCGCTTGCGCTGCTAAGAGAAACTCTCGTGGACTAGCCATGACTGGCAACCAAAAAGTCACAAGTTCAGAGAAAGTTCTCTATATATACCCACACACACACACACACACACACACACACACACACACACACACACACACACACACACACACACACACACACACACACACACACACACACACACACACACACACACACACACACACACACACACACACACACACCCACCCACACACCCACACACACACACACACACACACACACACACACACACACACACACACACACACACACACACACACACACACACACACACACACACACACACACACACACACACACACACACACACACACTGTACGTTGTACGAGCGTGGGCAGCGCCAGGTGGAACCTGTGTTTCCAGCCAATTTTTTCGGATCGTATTCCACAACTGGCTGTTACTGCACTTGCACTGCCTTCACTGAAGGCGTTAGAAGGTTTTGTTGGAGCATGGTGCAGGAGTTTCGACAAACCCCATGTAAGTACATGCTACATTCGGGCAGTCGGATTGGCGTGTTGTGGGGAGAAACGGAATTTTTGCGAAGGTTGCGAGCCGCACATATTCGCTCCCGGGCAGCACTTCAACTATTGCTCGCGGCTCAGTTTCGCAGACATGCCGAGAATTGTGCATAGGTTGGAAAGACGGGAAATCATGTACAGTTGGCAGATTCAGGCGGCGTGGGCAGCCGGCTGGTTGCAAGAATGGTGGAGGAAGTTTCGGGTCTGACCATTTCAGAGTGCCGCCGGGTCATTGGAAATGCAGGTTTTTCTCGCCGGAGCCGCAGTGTGCGGGCTGATCCAGGTATATGCAGAAGCACATTTGTGAACCTGCTGGAATGACGGACACCGGGTTCTTCATTGACGAGTCGCTGGCCGCAGACTGTGTTTCAACAGGACACCCAGCAACACCTTGAGACGGATTCCTTGCTTTTTTGCATCCTGATGCAGTCGTTGCCCTGTCCCAGACTACCATCCCTGGGTTCTTCAAGCTGTAGCTGATGGCCTGTTTGGATGCTGGGACCGCTGGAGGCGCTTAGTCCACGATCTTCCGCCGTGCCAGCCATCGGATGTCAGCAACGGGGGCCGAAGGGGAAGATGTCATGGCAGGCTTCGTTGCCGCTCCATTTATGCAAGGTTGTTCGGCACTCGGAGAATCTCAGGAGACTGTGCAAAGGGGAGCTCACAGGAGCCGATGATCTCGGTGCTGCAGGTGTGGCTGTGCACTCATCGATGATTTGAAACCAGCTGGGACTGGAGTGATATCCCCGATGAAGCTCTGGAATAGGCCGCTAGCGGCTAGCGCACAACGAGTCTAGTGACTAGTGTGCAGGAATGCTCTCGGAGCCTCCAGCCTCCAGGTCTTCGAAGCTGTACCATCCCGATGCAGGGCTTGTTGGCGTAATTGCCGTGCTTAACATACTGTACACAGTTCGTCGCAGAGTCAGGCCGTCTAGACTCTAGTTAGCTGTGGCAGGGACGGGCTCTGACTTTGCTGCGAGCTTATGACTCATGACACTGGGGCCCAAGCGCTTCTGTGCACGTGCACTTTCTTGCTGCAGGTGCGCTTCTTGCAGGTTCTGACCAGAGATGCCCGGTCCTTTTTCTGATGTAACTCTCGCTCATTCTTGCTCCCTTTGTTCAAGTTCTTTTGAGATCTTGAGGCTTCTGAGGCGCCGGTGCTCAGTCCGACTCTCCCTTAGTTTGCCAAGCTTTCGCCTCTCTTACTCTTTTGCTTGGCCTTGTGGCCGATTGTCGGAAGGTTCGTCTTGAAAGCCTTGGCTTCGCCCGTGACGGAGGAGCTCCAGGTCCAACAAAGACGATGCAAACCTTTTGAACTTTGCACCGCCCACAAGGCACCGTTTGCGCTGGATTCTGTCAGTGTGGAGAGGCCGTGGCATCACGGATCAGCAGGGTCTCCACTTCGCATGTTTTATCTCAGCTTTCCGATCGACGGAGGTTGTTTCCTGTTCGTGGCGATCGGCTTCCCAGGCAACATCTATCCAAGCACCGTGTGTCGCATCAGTCGCACAAGTTCGTCAGGCAGAAGCTGCTTCGACCTTTCAACAGTTTTCCAGGACAGAGATTCTCGCTCGGAGCGCATCATGCTTGGCTTTCCGCAAGCAGCTGTGCGGGCAATTGGCATGTTCAGCTAATCGAGGTCCGTGATCTGCGAGCCAAAAAAAGTCGGAATCTAAGATGTTCATGGAAGTGAGATGGTTGTTTGCATCTCCTGCGTGGTGGACTGGTTTAGTGGTTAACAACCGAACCTGTCATGCGTGTAAGCTTCTAAACATTAATCAACACTGGGGTTTTGCATTTCGGAACCGGGCTTTTCGGCCAGGAGTGGGCTTCCAAAGTCAACGCTCGACGAGTGCATCTCGGGTGTTCTCGGGTGTACTCGGGTAGTAAGAGCTTCTATGCAGAATGCTCGGCACTTGGTTTTCGGGTGTTTTTCGGCCAGCAGGGGTCGAAAACCAACACTCCGCGGCTCATGGTCAGGGTGGCTCGGTACTTTGGCCTTGAGGGTCTTTGGCTCTTCGGCGAGCGCCGAAATTCGACAATTCGGGTGTATCAGGCGAGTAGTAGATCACCTGAAGATGGTACATCTGCAGAGCAATATTTACGTGGGCCTCGCAGATCTGATCTGCGGCTGCCACAGCAAGTTGTCTCGCAGACGATGGTCATTGCTGTCGTCCTCGCAGAACTAATGCCTGTACTCCATCCCTCTCCCGGCCCTCAATTTCGCTTTCGCTAACAGATTTGTGTTACTGTTCGGCGACTGCATATATATATATATATATATATATATATTTATATATATATATATATAGATAGCGACTCCCGAGGTCGCTCTGCCACCGCGAGCTGCGGGGACATGGCATTGGATGGGTTTTGCTTCGACCTGAGCTGTGTAATGATCCTATTATGGTGCGACTGAAGGCCCGTCTGAAGATGTTTCCTCTGACAGTCGCGCCTTCTAGATTGAACAACCAGAACTGCAACCACGTCACGTGTACTCTCCGTGTGTTATAGCGTGGCATGACACTCCACCGCAGCAAAATCACGAAGGCTTGCTGCGCGGCAACACTATCACACGCTATGTCGAGGTGCAGAGTCCCTCGAGTCCACATGGCACGCTTCTATAACGGCTGGCCAAGCCCGACTTCTTAGCACGGTCTGCGCAAGTGATTGGCAGTCGAGGTCAAGCCGCAAGCATGCAAATCGGCATTGTACGCAGATGTGTGATGTCGAAGGAGTCGCTTGCACAATTGGGCATGCTGTCAGTCAAAACTTCCCACTCGGGACTTTGACTTGAGTTGCCGGAACCTCTCGTTCGGGAATGTTTTTCAGAAGCACCATTTGTCTGATTGAATCGCTGCGGCAAGCAGTGGACAGTTATCACTGCAGGACACGTCCCGGCAACGCCACCTGAGAGTCGTGCAGTTACCAAGTCTTCCCCGTATCGCACGCAAGTTTGGGCTCCGTGGACATGTTGGCTCCTGCCCGGCATCACCGAGTGGCGCAGCACATCCACGGCTGCACGTCTGAGGCTTCGACCTATTTCTTCGTGAATCCCAAGGAGGAGCTGGCCGCCTGCTTCCTCACGCAGCTCGTCTCTCACAGGAGTGCTGTGTTCGGGGCCCGCGACGGAGCATTCTGTAGACTCCCGCTGTAGAGCTGTGTGTCGCGCGAGGACATACCCGATCCTCGACGAACTAGTGAAGGGTGTGCACGACGCACTCCTGTGAGAAATCTGCAACGCGACAAGCCGTGCTGATTTGGGTGAACGGCTTGCAGCCGACCTTGCGTTGTCCATCCTTGTTCAAAGCAGATGTCCGGAGATGCGGTAGGTATGCTACGATGCGAATGTAGTGCAGCAGCAAGGGTTTGACATGGCTGCGGCCCCAAACAGGACTTATGGTCATGAGGGTTCGTTCAAGATCATGCAAGAACAGTCTGATGATCTGACCGTTTGGGCTGGACTGTGCAGCAAACAGCAGGAAAACAGCGAAGTAAGCAACAACTGCTATGAACGGTATACGCGACACTGCAAGGGACATGTGTTGGGACATTCATAGCTCAGAAAGACGTTAAGAATGGATGACTTCGACTGGCAAGCTGCAGACGATGGTCCTTCTCCGGAAGAAATCGAAAGGCCCCGGGAGCTGTCCAGCACAATTCTAGCACTTGGGAGATCGCAGGTGTGCCTCCATTCTGCGGCGAATCTCACCTTCCGAGCCTCGGCTTTGCAGATTGCGTTCAGAACTGGAGCGCGTAGTGTCGGCCTTTTTTTCACTGAGATGTTCTAGGACCGCTGTATGCTTCAGCTCGAGTATCTTAGAGCACACTTCAGAGCTGGCTTGGCTCAGGATTTGGCACGCCCAGAACTTGACAGCGTCCGGCAGGCGGGAAAAAGAGATTCACATCCACAAGTTGGCCATATTTTGCCATCTTGAACACCCCGAACGTTTGAGATTCGTCACGGCCGTGGGGGCTTGGGCTTGCGGTCTTATAGCTTAGCAGCCAGTACTATACAGAAGAGCACAGGGCGGAGCGTGAAATGGCTAGGCACTGCCTGTGGAATTTGGTCACAAACAAGGGCAGCCTACTGGTCCTACTGACTGCTTGGGTAGTTCAGAGTGGCGTTTGTTCACTGTCAAAGATTGCCCGTCAGCCTCAAAGTCGGAATGCAACAGGTTGAACAAGATACTTGAGTAGTTTGAAATGGTTGTGCTTTTGCAGTGCTGTGGGTGTCTGTGGCACGGCAAGGCTGGACTGCCACTGCCCAACACTCAGCCATCAGAAGCCAACCATGACTGCAGCTTCTTTGCCTCACCCTGCCTCTCTCTCGCTGTCTTTCTGCTTCTCTGTCTTATCTGCGCAAGTGGAAGCGGCGTGCTGGTCTCGCAAGGTTCCGGAGGCTGGTCCTGAAGGAGAAGTTCGGATCAGAGGAAGTACTGGACTTCCTCAAACAGAAATCTGCACCTTGACAGGCAACTCATGCGAAATTAAGCTTGCTTTTCTGCATAGGTCGTGTGTGAGCTTGCGGACGTTAACATAGTCCGAAGCTATCTGAGGATGTGTACCAGATGAGACTCGACGTTGTTCATGCAGTGACATCATGGCCGAAATCTCTACAATGCCCCGCAACCATGCACAGCCTGTGAATCGATGATTTCTTTGGTGTTGTTGAGTGATGTTGAGTGATGTTGAGTGGTATCTTGACTGCTCGTTCGCAGATCACCCCCGAATAACACTGGATCATGAAGTTTCATCACCAAGTCCTGCCCTGCCTCCTCCCCTCTCGTTGCTTGTGCTGTTTTCCGTCTTCAATAACCTGGTCTGTTTCTCCTCCTCTTTCGTTGTGACTTGCTCGCATTACCACTATCAGTCTGAGTTTACACACAGTCAAACGCCGTGACAAGCTCTTTTGTTCGAAGCATCAGTCCAGGGAGGCAGGTTGAGAATTTGAAGCTCAGTCGCGAAACTCAAGGTGCGTCACTGCGCTTTGCAAACGGGCAGGACAGCATCACAAGGTGTGCTGTCGATTTATGCCTAAGTGTACATGTATGTGTATACATATATAGATATATGTATACATGCGTGTAACTATTTAGTAGAACTGTGATGGCAACATGTGTTTCAGCAGATATGTAGGTGCCTGTGTGTGTACCCGTATGACTTAAAAGCTGCGCAGTGTCCATATGGAAGGGACTATGTGTGACATTCCATGCTTAACACGTGGACTGTTTAAGTTACACTCACACGATCCAGTAGGTCAGCAGGTAGAAGGTTGAGCGCCACAACAAGTAACCTTTGTTATCGGCTCCTTCTCAGTCGCCATGAAATACCAGGTCTGCTTTGGTGGAAGGTGTAGTCTGGGTAAGTAGACCACGAGCCGCGTCAAGGCCGTACGAGCACTGTCCGCTCCTGTCCAGCAGCACCGTGATTCCTGCATGGTGGCGCCAAGCGGATGCATGCAGCTCCGAGAACGTGCATTTAGACACGGATACCTCCCAGCCAGTGCTAACATGCTCAAGATGTGTGGTGCGGTTGCCTAGATGCTGGTGCTTTATTCCTTGACCTTTTGCGCCGAACCAGAACCACAGGGTTTAGATCAACAAGGCTTATATGAAAGGAACCCAAAATCTTATTTTTGTATGTGGTTGGCTTTATCTGTGTTTAAAAGTTTTTTTTGTATTTAAAAGTGTTGTTTTGTATTTAAAAGTTTTTTAAATATTTTTTTGTTTGTGTTTTACAGTTGTTAAATTTCTTTTATTTTTTTGGTGTAAACAAAATACATGTTTGTGAATTTTGTTTCTGAGTGAGTCAATTGGCTTCCTGTTGTTCTACCTGGTTTCCTGCTGCTGTATGTCTACAAAATTGTTGTTTATTTGTTGTTGAAGTTAATAATTTTTAATATTTAATCTTTTTAAATAGTTTTGGGTTGTGATTGAACAAAGAAGGGAGGCCGTAGTGACATGTTGACTTGCCTTGAGATCTTGCCCTTACCCACACGGATCGACTGCCCTTCTCGGTTCGTGGGCACCGTTGGCCGGGTGTCAGGTTATGAGGCGATTGTATCTAGACCGCCTTGGGGCCAACGTGCCAGGGCAGTGGCATATGACACCCGGACAAATGGGCTAAAGTGCCGGGTGGGGCGGTTGAGGGGTTGTTCGCAGCCGTGCTTACAGCCTTGAAGGGGAGGCCATCCATGCGTGTCACGTTAGTTAGGGAGCCTTGCGACTTGGATCGACAGAGGCAGAGTGCCACCTTACCCACACGGATCGACTGCCCATCTCGGTTCGTGGACACCGTTGGCCGGGTGTCAGGTGTTGTCGATGGTACCTGGACCGCCTTGGGGCCAACGTGCCAGGGCAGTGGCATATGACACCCGGGCACATGGGCTAAAGTGCCGGGTGGGGTGGTCCAGTGGTTGTGGCTTTTTTATTTTTCTCCCAACCAGGAGGGGAGGCCATCCATGCTTGTCACGTTAGTTAGGGAGCCTTGCGACTTGGATCGACAGAGGCAGAGTGCCAGTCGAGCCTCTCGAGGTTGCCTTACTTAAGTCCCTGCCCCATCGGGGTTGCTCCCCACACCGTTGGCCAGGTCTAAGTGTTCGGTTTGAATCCAAGCCTAGTGAACGCCTTCTCTTCCATTTCCTTCTCTCCCATCGGTCTTCATCGGCTTCCAGCCCATCGAGAAGTGGATGCCAAGTGCTGGGATCTCAGCATCAGCTTGCTTCAGCTACTTAAGTTAAGTCCATTATTATGAGCGATGTACAGTCCTGGCACCGAGGCTCATGACGAGGATCCTGAGGACATGCAACATCGCAGAGGACAAGCTGCCTTGCATAGTCAGTGAGCGTGTCATGTAACGCAACTTGCCGCTGCAGCAGTTGTGCTCGCTGTTGCCCTGCGTAATCTACTATAGTATTCTAGTCGTGTTACAGCTGCTCTGTCTCTAGTCTAAGTCGTATTAGTAGGCCCCCCTGCAAGCCGGCAGATGTCGTCGATGTCGTGGAGTGACAGTGAGTCTCTGGGCTCGGTCTCGGACTTGGCTGTTGGCGAGTTTGCAAGCACTGCGGGCTCGGTTGCGGGCTCGGTCGCGGACAGTGCTGACGACGATGATCATGTGATTCTGTTCGACGAGCTGCTAGAGGAGTCCTTTTCGACATTGTGGATGTTTCTGAATTCTGAAGAGCGTGGGCAAGTCTTGCAAGTAGCCTGGCATATCAATGAACAGACCATGTTCATACTGTGGCCGAGACTTGTGCAGGATTTTAGGCAAGGCAGAGTGCCAGGAATTTTATATTACAATGTGTCAGACGAATTTCTGGCGTCACTCAATCAATGATTTGTCGTGTTTATTGTACAGCCTCCGAGACCGTATTACGGATGTTGGGGAAGGCAGAGTGCCGGGTTTGCGTGTGTTTAGAGGATTTTGAATTCGACGATCTCGCCAGCAGAGCTAGACTGTCCGATTTGAGACCTCAGCGGTAGTGTGCGCAACTTGGATTCAAAACGGTTACCCAGCATGACATGCTGACTACACAGTGCCGGGTGGCAGTGACGTCCTCAGGACCCTGCTGTCTCCGAGGCTGCCTGCCTGCCTGCCTGCCTCCATAGTCTTTCACAGTGAGTTGCCTTGCACCATACATGATCGACATTTGCCGGCCAGGGAATCAAGTGATTCATTCATACTGATGTAACAGTAGTAACACAATGTCACATATCATTGATTATGTACTGTATAGTGATGCATTAGTCACTGTTAATGTTTTAATCGTTGGACAATTGTGTGCTCGATGAAAGCAGTGATGCCGACGACCTGCTCTGTCTGTAGTCTAAGTCGTAGTAGGCCCCCCTGCAAGCCTGCAGATGTCGTCGATGTCGTGGAGTGACAGTGAGTCTCTGGGCTCGGACTGGATTCTGGTTGACGATGAGGGTGCAAGCACTGCGGGCTCGATCGCGGACAGTGACTACGATGATTATGTGATTTATTTCGACGAGCTGCTAGAGGAGTCCTTTTCGACATTGTGGTTGTTTCTGAATTCTGAAGAGCGTGGGCAAGTCTTGCAAGTAGACTGGCATATCAATGATATGATCCTGCACGTACTCTTTCCGAGATTTGTGCGGGATTGCAGGCAAGGCAGAGTGCCAGGAATTTTATATTACAATGTGTCAGACGAATTTCTGTCGTCACTGATTCAATGATTTGTCGTGTTTGTACAGCCTCCGAGACCGTA